AAAAAAAAAAAAAAAAACTTTGTGCAAACTTACAATACATAATATACCATATATGGACCATAGAACAATGTTATGTAAAACAAATAAAAAAATACAAAAAAACATGTCTTCATATTATATAAACACACTGTTTATCTCAATGTTCTCACCCACTATATGCAACACAAATTTGTGGTTAACAAGAAATAAAATGGACATCTCTTCAGGTTATACAAAGCACAATATTATGCCAAAACATAAAATCAATAAATGTGTTTATCTGACCCCAAATATAGTATACATGCAGACCAAATTCACTAAAACATAAAAGCAATAAATATCAACAAGGACTTACAAGAGATTTTTCATTGAACAAATCAAATTCGGCAAAAGCACGAGTCGAGAAGTCGAAGAAAGCTTGCTTCAAGCTCTCGAGTTCAAAAGTGATTGAGTTGAGACGGGTTATAACATCCACATCATTTGTATGCTGGGTTGTGGGACTTGATGGAATCTCATCTCGAGTGAACTCATTTTTGTTTTTCAAGAATGAGTCTGACGAAAGAGTTTGTTTCTCTGCCTCGGTGGGAACACTGTTATTGAACTGTGCAAAAAAGAAAAAAGAAAAAAAAAAACAACAACAAAAAAGATTAAAAAGGTTATCGATAACGAAATAGAAAAATATAAGAGAACATAATTAATTACCTTGGAGTGATCAAGATTAAAAAGGTCCTCCGCATAAAAATACGGTTATAAGTATCCCGAACTTCCCACTTGAGTATCCTTGGAATATCATATTCACCAACGTAGGTGCATACTACCCCTTCAGCGGTGTCGCATACCTCGTAGAACCATGTCTGAGGAGCCAATATAAGACCATAACACCTATACAGATAATCAGAGCCTCGACCTTCTTAAATATGTGCATTTGCTCTCTACTATGAATTGACTTTTTTAGGTAATAAAGAGTAAACTCAAACACATCTTTTCCCCAGGCGTGATCATCGCACTCTGCACAGTCAAGCGTGGAGCGTGACGAGGTCGAGCGTGGAGCGTGAGCCGATGATGTGGTGGTGGTCATAGCAAGGATATTTTTAGTATACATGTCATGTATATTTGAACATGTTTGAATTATTATGTTTTGTTAATGCATGCTTGCATTTGCTTCCGCACTCAGTATTTCAGTATTTCAGTATTCATAATTTGAGTTTATGTATTCTTAAATCCTGAGATTTTCATGGCTCGTTATTAGAGTAATGAATTATATCTCGGTTGCATGTATGATAGTAAGTGAGAACATAAATGAGAATTTAATTAAGTTGAGTAGCATCCCGCATATTAAAATTAGCGTATTTTCGAGGAATTAAAATGAGTTTTCGAAAATTAAATTAGAGTTTTCCTTTTTATAGCGCAAAAAATTTACTCTAATTTTAATAAGTCTAGGCGGGGTATTACACAAAGCTTTTCCTTTCTTAACTTTTTCTTTATCTTCTTTTGATTTAAATATGAATTGGTAGTAATTTATACCGACCTCCTTTACAGAGAACATGTCGCGGGTTTGCCAGATTAGTTGCAGCGTATTTGTCAGCCCTCCATAATTAACTTTCTTATGCCCATAGATTCAGCCAAACAAACTACGCGAGCATACATTTATATGTTTGATTCATATGAAAGAAAGGGATGAGAGAGATTTCAATGGAAGGGAGGTGAGGGAAGAGGAAGTAATGTAGAATAATTTTACCTTGCTTGGAGGAATTTTATATGAGGGGAGATGAAAAAAAATGATAAACCTTGTTTGGTTCAAAAAGTAAGACGAGGGAAAATAAAATTATACAGACAAATATACCCTTCTTTATTATATATATATAAGATATAAGATAATTATGTAATTATAATTAGTTTGAGAAGGGTATATAAGTCCAATCAATAATAAACTTTTCCTCCCTCCAAATTCCCCCCAAAAATTGGAGGGGAGCAGTTTTTTTCCCTGGAACCAAACACTATGCAACGCCTGCAAGAACAACAAAGCTAATAAGGAAAGCAACAAAAAGAGGGGAAAGAAGAGAATAAATCGACGAAAACGGAGTAAATCACATAGTCGAACAAAACCCTAATTTTTTTTTTTTTTCCGAACCCTAAGACTCGCCGTTATACAGACGTACACTCCTCTCCATAGTTTCTTGTTCATCATCATCTCTCGTCCGATCGTTAGAGGTGAGTCTCTTCTGATGATTGATTACCTTTGTGTTTCTTATGTGATGGCTGATATTTGTTTGTCAATTCTTTTTAGTTTATTTTGAAGAAGAAGAAGAGAAGTAAATAAATAAGTAATCATTCGGATTTGTCTCTGCTTGCCTGCTGTGATTTTTGCAGGATTTTCTTAAAAAAAATTGTGGGAGTCAATTGATTAGTCGAAATAACGGGAAAAATAGTCTGATGGGGAGAATTAAGCCAAACGCAAACGCCCGTGACGACGAGAGTGGCCCGGTGGTGGCAGCTGCCGGAGGTAAATCGAAGAAGGGTTTTGTAATTGCAGATGATGAGTGTTCGAGTGGAACTGAAATCTCGGAATATGCTGTTGTACCCAAAGAGAGCGTGGCTCTGCCAGTTGGCAACAAAAAGAAGGGAAAGAAAGGAGTTACCAAGAGAACAGCTCTCAAGGACGAGGATGAAGATGTGAACGATAATGAGTTCAGGGAAGGGGAAGCGGGTGAGGAAGATGTTCCTGCGATCAAGTTTGCTGGGAAAAAGAAGGCTAAGGGGAAGAAAGGCAGCGTGTTTAGTGCTTTGGCATTTGGATTATTGGGAGATGATGATGAGGCGAAGGATAATGGTGACGAGGATGAAGAAGCCGATGAGCCGGAGATTGAATTTTCTAGAAAGAAGAAGCCTTCAAAGAGTAAGAAGGGCAGTGGCCGTGGATCTTCTGCATTCGAGTTGCTCGACAATGATGAGGATGAAGAGGGTAGGGACAAAGAGGAGAGTTCTAAGGAGGAAGAAGAGGATGCTGGCATTACATTTACAGGTAAGAAGAAGAAGAAGTCATCAAAGGGTTCGAAGAAGGTTTCTGGCAACTCTTTTGCGGCTGTGCTTGATGAAGAAAATGATGAGGATGCTTCCGTTTCAAAAATTGGGGATGACACGGCAGAAGGTGATGACAGTGGCCAGGAGCAAGATGTCTCGATAGTTAAATTTTCGGGTAAGAAGAAGTCGCCTAAAAAGAAGAACATGACTTGTGAAATTGGGAGTGGTGATGCTACCTCTGATTCCCTTGAACCGAGTCAACACACTGATGAACCTAAAACTCAGAGCAGACAAATGAAGCTGTTGCAGATACTTCGAAGAACAAAAAGAAGAAAACGAAGGCTGGTAAAACTGGTCAAGAAGAAGATGACTGGGATAAAATCCTCACTGAATTTGGTGCGGGACCTCCTGAGTCTAAGCATGTTTTAGCTTCTGTGGATGCTCCAACTGCACCCCCTCCAGAAGACAAGGTACAGAACCAGTCCGAGGTCGACGATGAAAAAGAAGAAGATGGGCCAGCGGAATCTGCAGCTGCAAAGAAGAAAAAAAAAGAAGAAGGAAAAAGAAAAGGAGAAAAAGGCAGCAGCTGCTGCAGCTGCAGTCGAGGATAAACAGAAAGAGACCAAAGCCGAGGAAAGTAAATTGGCTGGGAAGAAAGTTCCAAAGCATGTTAGAGAGCTGCAGGAGCGACTTGCCAAACAGAGGGAAGCTGAGGAGAAGAAAAAACGGGAAGAAGAGGAGCGATTGAGGAAAGAAGAGGAGGAAAGGCTTTGGAAGGAAGAGGAGGAAAGGATAGCAAACGAGAAAAAGCGCTTAAAGAAAGAAAGAGAGAAGGAGAAGCTTCTGAAGAAAAAGCAAGAAGGGAATCTTCTCACTGGGAAGCAGAAGGAAGAAGCTCGTAGGCTAGAGTCAATGAGGAAGCAAATACTAGCTAATGCTAACTTGCAAATATTCACAGGAGAAACTGTTGGGGCACCTGCCAAACGACCTCTATATCAGAAGAAAAAGCAAATGCCGGTAGCTCAATCAAACGGAGCAGCCACATCAGACAGTGTTGACAGTGCAGTTTCAGAGGAGAACCAGCAAGAAATTGTATCCAGACTGGATACCGTGGAAAGCGAGAATGTTGAGGACGTTACTTCAGCGACAGTAAAGGATAAAAATTATGGTTCTGATGTAGTTCAAGAGAATGTAGTGGATGAGGAGGAAGAAGAAGATGATGACGAAGAATGGGATGCTAAAAGCTGGGATGATGCTGATCTGAAATTGCCAGGAAAAAGTGCATTTGCTGATGAAGAAGTTGACTCCGAGCCTGAACCTTTGCCCAAGAAAGAGATAAAGAGTGCACGTACTTCAACTCGAGATGTTGAGGTACCGCACGTTGCAGCCAAGACAGTTGGTATACCTGCGAATGTTGCTTCAGTGATTCCACGGAGATCTGAGAATGTGGACGTTAGAAAAAAGAACTCTAAGGCTGAGGATGCCCACAGGAACAATAATAAGGTTCCTGTTCTTGAGAAGGACAAAAAAGAAGTTCTTGACAAGAGAGAGGAACGTCAAAAGTCAGATAATCAGCCTGCCCCGAGTGAGCAGAATTTGCGGTCCCCAATTTGCTGTATTATGGGCCATGTTGATTCTGGTAAGACAACATTGCTTGATTGCATAAGAGGTACTAATGTCCAAGAAGGTGAGGCTGGTGGGATTACACAGCAAATTGGAGCAACCTATTTCCCTGCTGAGAACATTCGTGAGAGAATGAAGGAACTCAAAGCTGATGTAAGGCTGAATGTCCCAGGTCTATTGGTGATTGATACACCTGGTCATGCATCCTTTACTAATCTGCGTTCCAGAGGGTCAGGGTTATGTGATCTTGCAATTTTGGTGGTTGATACAATGCATGGGCTGAAACCACAAACCATTGAATCTCTCAATCTATTGAAGATGAGAAATACTGATTTCATAATAGCCTTGAATAAAGTAAGTCACCTTGGAGCCATTTGTTGCCTTCATGGCAATCCTTCTCTGATAATGTAATTTTGGTTTACTTTTCTGACTTGTAGGTGGACAGATTCTATGGATGGAAAACATGCCGCAATGCACCGATACGGAAAGCAATGGAGCAACAGACAAGAGATGTTGATATTGACTTTAGTCATCGGCTTAACGCGGTATCTTTTTTTTTTTTTTTTTNTTTCGGACTTGAATATTAGCTCGTATGGTTGAAATTTATTTGATGGAAGTGTTCTGCTTTTCATAGGTTAAAGATCAGTTACAGATTCAAGGTCTAAATACTGAGTTGTATTACAATATCGAAAAAATGGGTGAAACAGTCAGCATCGTCCCCACTAGTGCTAAAAGGTTTTGTTGACGAAGCACTGCCTTAGATAACTTTTTATTTGTTGTTTCCTTTTTCTGTTCTCTTAAGTTCTTTAAAAGCCCCCCAATACTTCTCACATTTTGCTAAGTATGGCCATTAGTGGTGAAGGTGTCCCTGACTTGCTGTTCGTGCTTATTAAAAAAATGGCACAGAAGAAAATGAATAAAAGACTTACATACAGTAGTGAAGTGCAGGTATGCTGCCCTATTAGCTCATTGGTAGTGAGATTGTGAGGGAGGCAACCCTGTGAGATATTTTTGCTGATTTACAATGGTTTCTGTTGCAGTGTACTGTCTTGGAGGTCAAATTTATTGAAGGAAAAGGGACAACAATTGATGTGGTTCTGGTGAATGGTGTGCTTCATGAAGGAGATCGAATAGTTGTTTGTGGCTTGCAGGCATGTTTTCTACGACTCTTTTTATTTTTTTATTTGTGAAAGGACGATAATCACGCTCATCCTGCTTTAAATCTCTTATAGGGACCAATTGAGACCACAATTAGAGCCTTATTAACACCACATCCGATGAAGGAGCTCCGAGTGAAGGTAAAACATTAAGATCATGCTAATAGTTTTGGTCATCCATGTATGTTCTCGCTAATATGTGTTTTTTGATTAAGTTCATTCCTGGTTGTAATTTTGTTAATGTAATTACGTGGATTTAGACATGAGTTATTAGAAAGGAGTCTCCCTCTCGTTCCCTCCCTTCCTTTGCTGGTAGTGAAGGGTGGGTGGATTGGGGGTTACTGCGAACACTTGCTAAGATTTCTGGAGCCCCATTTTTTCCGTTATAGGGATTCTTTTGAGGAACATTGCATAAAGCTTTGGAAGTGTTGAATTTGCTTTTGACTTATCGTGTTCGTCTTGCTGGAAGCCAATGGTTAACAAAGATAGTTGATTTTGAAAAATGCTTTGATATGGATATTTAAATCATTATATTTGCAACTTTCTATCCTGTTGTGATGCAAACTATAACATACTTCTGAATTGATCTCATAAGTTACTCTTACGAAGCCTTACATTCTTTCTGATGCCTCATGCTTTTGCCATTATCATGTTTCAGGGGTCTTATTTGCGTCATAAAGAAATCAAGGCTGCGCAGGGTATCAAGATCACAGCCCAGGTGACCCTTTGCTGTTGATTATGCATTTATTGTCCTTACGAAGGCATGACCTTAATATTACCAATGTAGACATGATCACATGATATTGTTAATTACTAAATAAATGGCAAGATAACACACTGCCACCATGCTATAATGGGTTGCCCTTGATAGTTATGTTCGATTGACTGAAGGTATAGGATAATTTAACAGAAAAATGTCTTGTTCAGGAATGAAATATTCACTACTATTTGGAACTCTGTTTCCAGAACTCTTTTTACTAGATTTTAATTACTGTATTTATATATATATTAATAGTTATTTTTATAGAGTTATACATCCTCATCTTATATATTTATATATGTATTAATAGTTAATATATATGTATGTATGTATTCGAATGGCTTATTATAGT